GGGAGCATACATTGCTCTGGGCGGGGGCGCGCTCCCGCTAACTGCTGGGAAGACAATTGCGTGGGTACAACGGCGACATTGACCCCCGCGCGGCAGCGCGGGCGACACGTGGTGATAGGGCGGGCGATTGGAAGAGAAGTGTGGCCTGCGGGTCATGAGCGTGATGCGCACGGCGAGCTTATTGTGTTTGACGACGGGGACGGCATCGAGGACGTTGTTCTGCGAAAGGCAGGCGTTGTGTTTCGCCGGGACCCCGGGTACGTAGTATGCAACGCGGCCTCGCGCGGACAATAAGGGGGGCGGATTAAGCAGTGCTGGGTGGCCGGGGTCGCGGGGCGCCTGCGGGTATGGAGACGCGTTTGCAGGGACGGAATAGGCGCCGTGCGTGATGTTGATGTGCCGAAGCGAGGCCAATTGTCCCTACCCGGGGCAAGGACGCACTTTTGTCCGCTCTGTGCTCTTAAGCACCTGTTGCACCGGACTAGACAGCCACCACCAGCTAGTCTAGTGTCCGCCGCCTGCAACAGCCCTCTGCTCTCCGCTCCACGCATCCTCTGCCTCGCATTTACCAGGACTTGCCCTCCTCTGTAGCCCTATCCAGCATCTCGCCTTCGACCTTCTGCCAGCCACATTTCTCACGACTCGCGCGCTCCGTTCAGAACCGGTTACGCCTCATTCATATCCTCGTGAGTTTATTCGCGAACATTCGAGCCTGCTCGGAAATTGACATAGCGTGCAGACGTCTCCTCACGTCGAAGTCCTCCAAGAATCCTATTCATGTCTTCTGCTGTTACCGCCTTTTACAACATCGACAACTCGGCCAACGCCCCAGTGCAAGCAGCACCCGCCTACGCTTTTCTCGCTCACCCGCCGCCGCAGAAGAAACGCCCCACCCAGCCGCTCCCGTCTCCCCCGGTCCCCAGGCTCCCCTCGTGTGCTCCCTTGAACCCTAGGCGCCGCTCTGCCACCACCTCTGCCATCGCGGCGTGGGTCGCCGCAGTGAACCCCGGTTCGCCTGTCCCCCGCTCTCCCCGCCGCCGCTCGTCCATCTCCAGTGCGCGCCGTTCCTCGGGCGGCTCCCCGTACATCGTCTCCCGGCGCCCCTCTGTGTCCGGAACCCCGCACTCGTCGTCGTTCCTGAGCTTCGCGGACACCCCGACCACTGGCTCGCGGTTTGTGATCACGCCCTCTATCAAGGACTTCAAGCCGGACCTTACCGCAGTCGGGTACACGTCTGTCTTCGTGCACTTCCCGGAGACCCCGCTCTCCGCTACCGGTTTTACGAGCAAGACCCGTCCGCCTCTGAGCCCGCAGCGCGTCCCCCCGCGCTCCCCCTCCAGCCCCGTCAAACCGAAGGGCCTGAAGTCCTTCCGCTCCCTCTCTGCCCTCAGACCCACCCGCCGCGTCCGCTCGAAGTCCATCACCATGCGCGGCCCCCCATCACCCCCGCTCGCGCTCCCCATCCAGGCAAAGAAGGCGCCCACCCAGTCCAAAACGTCCCGCGCGCAAGCCGCAGCGACAGTGAGCGCGTCGAAGAAGTCCAAGTACGCGAAGTTCCGCCCGCCGCCGCTCGCGACGGAGCTCGCGCTCGCGCAGCTCGCCGACGGCGGCTCGCTCGAGGACCATATCCGGCGGTTCGCCGAGGCGCAGGCGAAGGCCGGCGGCGCGACCGAGCTCACGCGCGACGGCCGCCTCGTCGGCGTGTCCGACGTGTACCGCGACGGCGCGGGCGGCCTCTGGCGCGACCAGGACGAGGAGTGGGAGTACGCGCACCTGCTCGGCGGCGACGAGGAGTGGCACGGGAGCGAGGACAGCTGGGTGCGCTTCAGCTCGCCCACGAAGCCCGCGCGCAAGGCGTCCGTCGCCGCCAGCCTCGCCATTCCCGAGGCGGGCGACGCGCGCCGCGGGAGCGTGAGCAGCCAGGACAGCAGGGACTCGGACCTCGACCCGCGCTACGCGATGCGCGCGGAGGACGAGCGCGACGACCTCGCGGGCTTCGGGAGCGCGCTCGCGCCCGCGTGCGCGCGCCGGCCCGGCATGTCCGTCCTCGCGATCCCCGCGCGCACGCGCCGCACCGCGAAGCACCTGCGCAAGCCCGAGTTCCTGCTCGACGCCTTCCCCGTGCCCGCGTCGCCTAGCACCGCAGCGCACGCGCCGCGCCCCGCACAGCCCAGGGAGCGCCAGCAGCAGCGCCGGCGGCCGGCGCCGCTCACGCTCACGCCGCCGAGCCCGGCGTTCAAGTGCCCGACGAACCCGCTGGACACGGAGCAGGTGCGGGACGCGTTCCTCGCGTCGTCGTTCGTCCCCCCGCATGCGCATGCACACGCGCATACGTCCTCGAGACGTGTGCAGGCTGCGCAGGTGCTGCCGGTCGTGCCGGCGTCCCCGCGTGCCCCCGCGACGATCGAGGCGAAGAAGCCGGCTGCGAAACCCGTGGCGAAGAACGTCCGCGGCTTCTTGCGCGCGATGGGCGTGAAGAAGGGCGACCTGTAGCCCGCTATGGCTCGCTCCCTGGGGTCCACCCTCTCCGCGTCAGTCCCGACATGAACGTTGCGAAAGTAGCTCGGCATTGCTTGGAATCTCATTTTAACTGTCTCTGTGTTGGTGTACATTGGTTCCAGGTCTGCGCTGTCTCCATATATCTGTGCTCTTGGGATGTATTTCTATCATATGTATTGCGCTGTAATTTGTATCATTACCGTGGTCTCGCGATTTGACATCGTTTCTTGCCATTAGATGTAGCCAATATACCTCTGAGTTATCTGATACATCCACTGTGAGCCCAAAGTAGAATGTCGAACGAGGTCGAACGCCCTTCAGTCAGTATACAACGCTGGCACGGTCGATTGCCCTGTTCTTAGACGACTATGCAGCTTGCTCCAGTGCGCTCAACGGGCAAACTTGAAGCACAATGGTACAAATTAAGCGCCTCCCTGGTAGCCAAACAAAAGCAAAGCTCGCGTTCGTGGCGGTGGCGCTGCAATTGTGCTCGACGCGCCTTGTACAGAGCCACAAGTGACAACTCCGCGGTACTTCTCAACACCCGCTACCGCCCCGCGCATCCGCGAGTACCCGGCGCGCCATGGAGGTCGATGCCCAGCAGCTGCGCGACAAGGCGCTCGAGGTCATCACCAAGGTGGTGCAGGACGACAAGCTGCAGTAAGCTTGAGGCTGTCCACTGGGCTTGTGCTCATGATACTGTAACCTCGCGTGGCTAATACGGTGCATGTGTAGTGAATTTACGTATGGGACATATAGGAAGAAAGTCGAGGAAACTTTGTCTCTGGAGCCAGGGACCTTGGATGCACCTGAGCACAAGGCCGTCGTACATGCCATCGCCAAGGATTATATAGTGAGACTCTACCGCAGTGTGCTCATCCTTGTGAATATCGATCACTGACATGGCTTGCGCTACGCAGAGTCGACTCGACGAGGACTCGCAAGAGCAGCCGGAAGAGGAAACGGCTGCAAAGAAGGGCAAGCCTCGCGGGAGCGCGTCGAAAGCCGCGCAGCCCCGCAAAGGCCGGACCAAGGGAGAAGCGGGCACGCCGGTGAAGAAAGCAGCAGCAAAGGGCAAAAAGGCTGCTGCCAGATCTGCGGTAACGCCCCTGCTGCTTCCCTGCCGCACGCACGACCAACGTTCTATACTTAACCCAGTCCGTGGTTCCGACGTCCTCCGATGAGGCAGCCAGCGGTACCGGCGGAGCCCCTAGCAGGCCAAACTCCCGGGCCACGGCCACCGCGAAGGCGAAACGTGCGGGGCGCGAACTCGAGGTAACCATGCGCACGGCATCCTCACGCGTTTGTGTGCCTATTTGACTCCGCCAGGATTCTGTCGACGAGCCCCCGGCGAAACGCGCGCGGGAGGAATATACGCCGACGGAGAAGACCGTCTCCGCCCCTGCCGTCCCATCGCCTTCGCGACCGCGCGCAAACGCCGCCGTCGAGGAACAGGTGCGTCATGTAGCCAGCCAGGCCGGAGCGCAGACCAGCCGATACATCGCACCGCAGAAGAGCGACTCGGAGCTCTCGGTGTTAATTGACGAGCCACCCTCCCGGAAGCGAAACAAGAAGGGCGCAAATGAGGTCAGCGCGTGTGTGGCCGTGCCTGTGCGCTCACGTTTGCTCACTCTTCACCGCAGGATCCGCAGGTCAGTAATGGTCTACGTGCCGCTGTTCCTGCGCGCTGAGTGATCTGCAGAAGTCCAAAGCCACGAAAGGCAGGAAGAAGAAGGAGCCGGCCAAGGAGCTGTCGAAGGATGAGGAGACCATCAAGCGTCTCAAGGTGGGTTACTGCCCCTTGCGCGATGCAGCCACCCGCTTAGGCTGCCTTCTAGTCTTTCGTCGTAGCTTGTGGGGTGCGCAAGGTGTGGGCGAAGGAGTTCAAAGACCTCGAGAAGCCGTCAGAACAGATCCGTCGACTGAAACAGATCTTGGCTGACCTCGGCATGAACGGTCGGATGAGTATGGAACAGGCAAAGGCCATCAAAGCGAAGAGAGAGTTCGAGCAGGAGCTTCGTATGTCGTCTCGCTGCTGTTTTACATGACTTCGCTGCTGACGGGCCTACTCTACCTACTGTCAGAGGATGTCAAGGAGTTCGCGAGCAAGGTCTCCTCTGCCCCGTCGGCAAAGGGTCGTCGTCAGAAGGAAACCACGGTTGACGAGGGCGAAGAGGACGCGGAGTCCGAAGTCGAAGTGATCCCAAAACGCAAAGTACGTGTTGTCATCGGTGGCATATTCTATATGTTCCCTTACTTTTGTGCCGTTAGACCGCTCGTCAGAGCATCATGGCATTCTTGGGAGACGAAAGTGATTGATATCTTGAGAATGTATATAACGCTACCGTAGTCTACTTGTTCTTTTTCCCATAATTATGATACGAGCGACGATAATATACAGTACTAGGTTCATGAAGTAGACCAAAAGCAGACAGCCTGCACACCTGAGCCAAACACCCGGACTCTGGAGGCGGGTACGTCATAGTAACATCATGCAAAAACTCTCTGTCGGGGAGTCGAACCCCGCTTTCGCGCGTATATATGCCACTTTGACAAGCGCGTGTACTAACCGATATACTAACAGAGACCTGCGCAGGTTAATTTGACAGAATATTTGTAGACAGTCAAACCAGACCCTTTGAATCTACCGTATTTCCCATAACCTCGCCCGTCGGGGGGGTGTTGTACTTTTGAACACGGATCCGCGAGCAGCGGGGAGCATCATTAACAAGGCAGAAGTATCGGCTGTAAATCAACGGAGTAGTTCCTGCGGCAAAGCTGCCGAGTCGCTGCGTAAAAATCAGGTAAGTGGTGGGACGGCGTATCATTACCTGCTCGCCGCATGGGATTCCATAGCGTCGAATCATACGGCCCCCCGGAAACGTCATAGAGAGGAGAAGGTACGAGCGTTTCCGGGCGAGGGAATCCTCTAACTTTGACCAGCTCGACAGGCCGCTCGACCGCCGAACGCTCAGCGAACGTTGAGTTTGGACAACACCGGAAGGGTCCCGTCCTCGAGGAAGATTGGTCGCAATCAAGGGCCATATGGGGACTTCGCCGCGAGAAGTGCAAATGAGTAGCAGAAGAGGGAAGACAGCGCGAGCGTAATATGGCGGTTCTCCGTACTGCTGCCGGTTTGCCTCTGGGGTGGATCAACGCGCATAGTAAGTACCGGCACATCGGAGCTGTGTGCGCCTGGAAGCAGGGCAGAAGGACGTACTGTTCTGGGGCAGGTGTTCTGCAGACCGCACTCGCGCCGCGATCGAGAGCCAAGTACTGAATGGCATGCACCCATGAACGCCGCTCTCCGAGTCGAAGATGGGTGCTGCTTGGAGAACATCACTCCGTTAGCACGTCGGGTTCCCTGGTCGATCAGCCCAGCCCCATCTGTGGAAAGAGGGGTGCAGGGACATGCGTGGACGGCGAGCATCGACGGCGTGAGTTGGTCCCGCGGCGAAAGGCGAGGACGGCTGAACCCTGTGCGGACAGAGTTCCTCTGGTGCCGAACAGAACAGATGCGGGCGCGTTTGCGAGCACTTAGCACAAGTTTGGCAACGCACCGCTGCTGGGGCCTTCATCCCCGCCACCATGACCCGCTCCGTAGGGCTGCCTGCAGGCAGCAGCGTGAGGCGAGGCCGTCAAGCGACCAGGAGCTGCACGAGAAATTTCCGAGCCGTTGTCCGGGGCCGCATGATACGAGACAGGCGATTTCCAGCGACCGGCGGAGGGCGAGGGGCTGGGGACGAGCGCCGGGGAGGTGCACAGCGATCCCGTGGTGGCGGCGGCTGGCTTGCACGCTGTCCGAGACGATGTCGCCGGGGGCTGAGATAGCGGTTGGATGGGGCCGTTCGACGTCGAGAGAGGCATGGCATGGCGATGGGAAGAGGGACGGGTACGTGCTAGAGATGCAACGGCGCAGAATGGTCAGATTGGGCGGCAGAGTCAGTACTTGCAACCACCACCATGCACTTCCACTATATCCCCATCCCGCCCATCATGCATCAACGTCCAACACTGCTATCCGCGCCAGACTAGCCTGCATCACACTGTATGACCTATTGCGCAATGACATCGGAGTCTTGTTGAATAAACCTCAAACACAACCTCATGCAACCGAGCTGTACTTTGGCGCGCCCAGGGCATCTGCCAGCAGGCCAGCACATATCCACACAACAGCGAGCAGGACTCGAAACCCCAGGGACATTCGTGAAAAATGACCCTCGGTGCTCGGCGTACGCAAATATGCCACCGGTGTCCTTTCAGGACGTCGAGGAAGCTCAAGGCCTCATGTGAGTCGCGCATCCTGGTTTGCTTTTCGTGACCCCTCCCCGAGTGCATTTCGGACGGTCAACTCGCCCACAAGTGTGGCCAGCAGCCCGTAGTCAATTGGATGCTCCAGTCTGTCTCCTGCTTTGCTGTGGTGAAGCTGAAGCAGGGGACAGGGTAAGCTGCTCGATAGTGCTATCGTGAGGCCGTCAACACCGATTGTGTGAATAGACTCCACGTGTTGTGAACCGATATGCGCATATCTGCTGTATGAAATATCTGCCTGCCCAGCCAGCTGTCCTCTCTTTTGCTTGCGCTAGTAAATCCTCATCTCCTGATACGGATGCGAAGCAAAAGAGAGGATTGGCAGATTAATCAATAGCCCATCAGAGAACCTTACAGGCGGTCGGCAGGACCTGCCGAACACTACCTGCGGCATTCTCATGTGTAGTAGCAACCCAATGTTGCTTTCGCATGGACACATACATGAAATAGTGATGTAGGACGGGCATGGCACGTACTATCAGTGCTTTAAGGTGCTGCTTCAGCACGGCTGCACGTTCGGAGTGGGTTTGTTGGGATGGTTCACGACAGAGCACGCCTTATTGCCTGTGTTGTGGTCTTTTACGGTAGCTCGTATACGCGTCTCGTTCAACGAGCGACAGACCGCATCTGTTAGCAATGGATGGTGAGGGGCAGGGATTGTGCGATGGGAGCAGTGGGAACTCAGCATAGTCCTCATAGGTGGTGTTTGTGTTTGGGGGGCGTGTTGCGTGTTGTATGGTCGACGACGTCGCTGAGGCTAGCCTCGAACTTGAGGTTGCGCTTGTCAACGTCACCCCGAAAGGCCATGCATGACCCAAGGGTTGTGACCTGGAGGTAGACATCGCCTCCGGCGTACAAATGAGCCGTGCCCACGGGCTGAACGTTGAACACTTAGTTTTGCTATAGAACTTATGCAATATCATCATGACCCCGCACCGAATTCGCCCGAGCTCTCCCGGTCAACGTGCATGTGCTGATTGATGTACGACGAAATACGATGGTGTTCATGTGGACTCTCTTTCTCGCGGAAACTGCCCGTAAGGGTGAGCACACCACGCATTACAATTTTTTTCGTCGCCCGGGGCTCCCACGTGCAGCATGAATCCCATCACATTATGATTATGATTATTGGGCCGCGACAACTCCGCCGGGCGGCCATAGCCTACACTTCGCCCGGCGGCTGGGACCGTCAGTACCAGCGCCACCATCGTTTCCTCCATGAAGAGCAGTTAGATAATTCCAAAGCGACTTCTTCTCTGAGCCAACCTCCTGGGTTCTCTGAGACTTGTCTTCTCTCTCCCTCACCGCTGTCTGGTGCCTCCCCCTTTTCCGCCACGGGTTCCTCCATTCTGGCCGCCTGCACGGCCAATCCGTCGCGGTCAGGTCTTCTCAGGTCCCATTCAATCTGCTTCGTGGTGTTTGCCCTCTAAGCCCCGTCTCGAAACGTCTCGCGAAGTTCGAAGGGATGTCAGAGCTAGTAGAGCCTTGGCTTTGACTAGGGTGTTGTGCTGTGAGTGATCTTCGAGATTGGCCTATTTTGCTGGCCGTTGCTATTCCGTGCCTCGTTACAAGCAGCCATGGATCCGTGCTAAGCTAATACGCCGCAAAACAGAGTCCCCCGGGATGTGGTGCATCTCGTTTGTGGTGGTAATGTTATGTGCTGCGGGGCGTGGCGCTTTTCCCGTTCAAGTTGGACCGCTTGCCTGCGCGAAGATGCCTATCGCTGTCTAGAACGCTGGCCCGCTCCCTGTTTACGCAGTTTGACTTCTGGCGCGAGGCCACCGTTGGCTTGATAACCATGCACGTACTCCAGATTGAGGAAGCGTCGGAGCTCGTCGTTGTACATCTTCTCCCCTGCCCGATTGCGGGTCTAAATTCTCGGCATCGGCCTCACGGCACCCGGTGTCACGCGACGAAGTGTGCTAGGTGAATGGTACTGCGAAGAGTCGGGCCAGGAAGCTGGACCTTTCGAGAGCGCTATTTGTACTAGCGTACTTATTATTAGCACGGTGGCCGCCACAAGTACCCACAGTCTCGTCACCAGAGTGAGTAGGCGATACTTCAGAAACGGGACGGGCAAGAAACTGAGCAGAGGACCACCTATAACGCCTAGTACATTATTCAGAGCTGAGGGGACGTATGGTAGATGGTTCTCGCGATCGTCATTCCTCTCCCTCGGGTTTCGCTCCCCGAAAGAGTAACGCCCTATATATAACGAAACGAAAGTGTTCAAGTGATCGTCACGGAGTTCGATATTCGTCGCCAAACTCCTGGCAGTGTCGGTCATAGGATGGTCAATCTTGGACGGCGCCTATCTCGCCGCGTAAGGCAGAGCAGTTGATATATCGGAGTTGTGTAGCCACGACCTCGAATATGGCCGGCTCCTCTACGTGTTGTTCGATTCTACCACGTTAACCTCGCTGACTACCTTCGTGACATTGACTGGCCCGTCGCATCGTGTAGGTAGGCTACAGCGTGCATATCTGGGAAGGAGCGCGACCTGGCAAACACTATTGCAGCAGTTGGACTAGCGCTGTAACTTACTCGGCGTTCTCGGCGCCATCCTCAGGCCACTGAAGCGTTTAGCAGCTGTGTTCAGGCACCTTTTGTGCTTGTCACTGTGTCGTCGGAATACAGATTGGCACAACCAGTTACGCCTACTGTGGATATGTCTTTCACCACCCACAAGACAGAATCAGGTGAATTCAATCTTGTCCGACCGATATCGCCTATCGACTGATGACACAACGCAGGCTTCCTACTCCCGTCGATCCATGCAGCGCCACCCTTTTTCACGTAAGCTCTGCTCGCTGCACGATTGCAAACTTACCCAGATCCCGGACTGACACCCATAAATACCATAAATACACGTCCAGGCAACAACCGAATCCCACCACGCAGGCAACGGTCGCCCAACAGTGGACGCGCCTCATCCTCGCCTACGCGCGGCACCGGAACCTCTTCACGCTCCGCCCCGAGGACGCAGACGTCCCCGGGGGCGAGTGGGACGAGATCCTCCGCAATCCGCGCATAAACCGTACGTCGCGCCGCCGCGCCGACTCCGTCCCCAGCGCGAGTGCCGCATGCTGATCGGCCGATTGACTCGCACGCAGGGCGGCTGCTCTCGTCGCACCTCGCCGCGATCCTCGCGGACATGGTCGCGAAGGGCCATGCGGTGTACGAGCCGCCGCGCCAGACCGCGTCTGTGCTCCTTTACTGGCGCTCCGCGGACGAGTGGGCACAGGTGCTCTACGACTGGGTGCGTACCCCGCCCCC